AGTTCATACACCTCAATTTCTAACTAAATTAAAAACGACTTTGATAATAAGATTATATAAACTGAATCACGAAGTGAAAAACTAAAAACTTTAGCCAGAATTAAAATTGAATTTTGAATTATTTTCGATCCAAAAGCAATTGTTTTGTCAACACAAGCAGAAAGGTTTTTGAATCATTCAATTCGGATGCTTATTTCTCTCAAAAACTGACATTTTTTGTATATTTAGCTCTATATCTTTGAAATGAGAAATTATGGCAATGGCTGGGCTTGCCTTTGCCAAAAACTAATAGCCATTTCTACCAATTATTACTAATTGAAAGTTTTTTAAATCATTCAAATCGGATGCTCCGTTCTCTCAAAAACGGAGTTACCGTTTTTGGCACTTTTAGCCTCGTATCTTCGGAACGGCTGGACCTGCCTTTGCCAAATACTAATTAGCACGTCTCTTTATCAATACAAATCGAATGTTTTTTGAACTTTTCAAATCGGTTGATCGGTGTTCCCGAAATCGTCGACAAAAATTTGTATCCGCACACACACATACACATACACATACACACATGCATCTATTTTTTCTAAGGTATGCCAAAATATTCAGAAACCTCTGAAACGTAAAGATATATAAAAATTTTCATTTTCGATTCTTGTGCGATTACTATAACTTGCCCTACGGGAAGTTAATAATGTCAGTTAGTCAACATTGAAATAAAAGCTTAACGTTTTACTATATTCTATACTCCAATCGATTGATTTTACCTTTTTAAGAATAATTTATTTTAAATAATTAATTCTAATTGTCTCCAATAATAATAGTAAGAATCAGACTTCACATTTAGTAAACTTAACCAATAAAGACTATTAATTATTATTAATACAATTTTAGATATAACAATGTAAAGTCATGTAATTTTAAAAATATTAAGACATATAATATTAAAATAAATTAAAATACAAAACATTATGCTCAAATTACGCATTAAAATTTTCAAAATTAATTTGAGTTCAGATTGTAATTCAGTCAATTTAGTAATGAGAATAATTTGATTATACCCTAAGTTCTAGAATGAAGAAAAAACAAAATGAATCATTTCATACAAAAGCTAAATTTTTTCATTGATAATCTCTAATAATTAATAAAACTAAGTTGGAAGTGAAAATGCAAAAAATATTAAAAACATATAGTAAGATACTAATGTAAAATATTATTAATTGTATGAAATAAATAAAAATACAAGATAAGCCAGCATATCGTCAGCACCTATATAGGTGCATTAGCACAGTGAAGTATTTGTTTGTTTCGAAATGCAGAAAATTAGCACATTGAAATATGCATCTTATCAACTGTTTTCACTTATAAAATCAAAAATATCAATATCTATTTTACACGTCGATACTTTTGCATAAATTTGCAACTAAAATTTCTGAAAATATGTAACTATATTTGTTGCTTATAGTCTATTTGCACGCATACATACGTAGAAATAGACTTTTAATATTTATACACTGACTCTGACTATTTTGCGTCAATGTTGTAAATATATGGTTATGAATAATAGAAATAAGTGCATATATAAAATTGTAATATTTTTGAGAAAATATGTTTTTGTTTCCACGTACTTTTTAGAATATATATTTACTGTATTACATGATCAATTTGAAAATATTTTTATTGTTAAGTTTCCATAGAAATATGTATACACGTAGATAAAGAATTGTATAAAACTATTTGCACTTGCTATTTTCTTTTATTACACTCGTGATCCTAATGTTTAGAACTGCCAAATTTCAATAAATAATAATAAAGTTAATAAATATTTTAAAGTGCTGTTTTACAATGTACTCGAGTATCAAAATTTTGCTTATCACATGCCAAGTAATTATTATTGCTATTGGATATTCGGATGGCAATCCATTTGGAAAATGCAAGTTTTGCCTTGCAAAATCAAGAACAAACTTAGCACATAAAACAGTTAAAAAAGATTACAATTTAAAATCCAGTGATGAAGATAGCCCTACTTCAAAGGCTGATACAGCATACTACAACCAATTTTCTAGTGTTGATGCCCGAATCAAAGCAGAAGTCACCAGAAAACTATTACGAACAGTAAATGGAGCACCTGTATCAACCAAATTTAGAAATACAGAATTTCCTTCATATACTTATACAACTATGCAGATGATAGCTGACGTGAATAACACCAAATATGGAGGAATTCCTTATTTTTTAATGAATTATAATGATTCAGCGTATAGAGATCTTTTGGCTGACAATAAGGCATCAGTACTTTTAACGGATTCAACAACCGGACGATGTAACAACTGGGTTCTTGGTTCCAAAGATTTAAATTGCCACAGAGCTGTGTTTCTTGGACCATTTGTTGACGCCAGTCGTGAGGAGGCACAGTTGGTGTATCCAGAATTTTTAGAAGATATCCCGGAGTCAGGAATTTGAACCAAACTAATTATTTTATTGCTAAAGTAGATACTAAAGCAATTTACATAAACGAATTTGAAAGACTGCCACTTACAGATTATTACAAAGCCCGAACTTATGGATGGGACATTACTACTGATCAGGGAAATGGTCCGCCGGTCTTCCCTGTCCGCAATCCAGAAGAAGATATATAAAAACTATGACAACTATAGATAGTTATTATATCATAATATTCATCATTATTCAAGACAAAAATATTGTCGTAGTGTGTAGTAATAAATTTATTTTTGTAAAATGGTGTATAGTACTTTTTATATATATATATATATATATATATATATATATATATATATGATATGTGCAATAGAATCTTCCAGCTGTTCATTTACAACATATTTTATATTTTTTAAATTTTATAATGCTATAATGTAAACTGCTTTCTTGAATCTACATGCTTGAAGTTAACAATTAAATGCAAACACTTTCTGATATTTGTGAACAATCGACAAAATCATATGAATATAAATGGCAACTTCAGAATATGCGATAAATTTGTGTGGTAGAAGTTTGAAATTTCAACCCGGCCCATTTTTGCATACCATAATAATTCTTCATAATTAACCGCATTTTGTACGACCATATTTGGATTTTTAATTTTTTTCAATTATTAATAGCGAAAAAACTGCCTATCTCTACCAAAACCTAGTCAGCACGATTTCCAATATATTTCGACCAAATTAAAATTTTTAATGGTAGTTAAGGATCTTTAGCTTTAAAAAATTGCATTAATTTGCTAATTGTAAAGGCTGTTTTTGAGACATCAACGAAAATTCAAATGATGACTCACATACACATGTAAAAACACATATTTTGTCTCATTCATTGTTCAATCTCATTTGAATTGGTTTTTAAAATATTGAAACACAAAAATCTTAAAATTAATAATAAATATGAATCTGAACCTTTATATCCTGACCTTAATGTAGATTATATCAGTAAAATGTATAAGTTGCTTTAAAAGCTTATTATTGTATAAAACTCTACTAAGATAACTATAACTAAACTATGTTCTGACTAAATGGTTTCAATAAAATTAATTAAATTATTTAAATCATGAGTATTATATATCCTTAATATGATGGTCCTTAAAGTTCCTATATGGAAATAACATGGGTAAAATTCCATTTGTTTTTTAGAAGTTTATAACAAGTGAACCAAACTTTTAAGAATAACTTTGTATTGCCTTATTTTGAGCATAAAATTACAACAAACTTCAATATAATTTATAAAATAGGTATTATCTTAGGAAGAAGAACTAAGCAACTTTGGTTGGAGTACAGACTATCTTAAAATTAATATTAAAACTTTCATAGATTTTTTTTTTCAACAATTTGAAAGTTAAAAAAGCTCTGGAAGCAATAAAAATTCGAAAATATCAGTATTAAGGACCACCCTAATATATATATATATATATATATATATATATATAATATATATATATATATTTATATAATATATATATGTATATATATATATATATATATATATATATATATTTAAATGTATATGATAATTATTTACTTTTCCAGAACAATTTTCCTTTATATCGACAACTTACTTTTAGGTATTTTTCCATTTTTGTGGTTAATTTGGAAAACAATTAACATATGTTACGTGCAAATTATTAAATGATATGCTAATACATGTGCATAAAGAGTGTATATAATATATAATTATGAAAATAACTAAATATTAGATTGCAATAACAGTATTAACTCAAACTGAGTAATTACTTAATTATTTTGCATTCACATAGTGCTGAACAAATAATTAAATTAACATGAAGGTAATACTCGTACAATAAAACTTACAAAAAAATCATTTTAATATTTATTTTAATAAAGATTAATTATATTCGTGACATAATAATTTTATGAATTATTTAATTAATATTATGTACAATTTATCTAGTTTAAGCTAAATTTTTCAATTAAAAAATGTACGATTGAAAAAAATTACATGTTTTAATTTGAGGATGAGAAAGTAAAAAGAAAAAATTACAGTGAAATACGAATAGTATAAAAAAATATTAATTTCACGATTTCAATATTATATTGCTTGAGAAATTAAAAATTAATATTTATGAATAATTATTATATAAGCGATATAATCAATAAAAAAAATCATCTAAAACTTTAATCGCTTATTTTGAGTTGTTATTTCTATTAATTTCTTTATTAAGTGTGAATATTTCCAAAAATTTGACTCCCTCACTATTATATCCGACACTGCTAGTAAACAGTATTTAATAATTATTTTTGTTTCTAATAAATTAAATTAATGCCAACAAAAATTAGTCTAAAAAATTATTTTTGCATCATTATCTTTGAATTTTGTATAAATACTGATAAAATTCTAGCATAAAAGCGCTTATATTTATTTTCTAAACAAGGAAATCCAAATAACTTATTAGTAGGCACATTTAAACTGCAAGAGTTAAGTAAACAGTTAGTGATCAAAGACAGAAAATTAAAATCTTTAATATGAAAGCTTCAATTATTATAATGTTGTTAATGGTGGTGGTTTTTGCGGTTGATGCTACTAGGAAAAATGCACATTTAAGAAAAATCAATAAAAAGAATAACTATAGCTCATTTCACAAAAGAATGGCAAATTCAACTGAAGAAAAAGTGAAGATGGTACGAAAACTTGTACGTGAATGTAAAGCTGTAGCCCTATCTGCAAATTCGGCAATTTCAGGATTCGAAGGATATACTGATGTAATTCTACAAATTCCTGCTGATGGTGGACGTGGTATTCCATATTTATATATTTCTCCAAAAGAAGTAAGCGGCTTAGATTTGAGCAAAGACTACAAAGCCTCTCTTTTATATTCCCAATCAGCTATTGATGACAGTTGTGATAATTATCCTCTGAAAGCTAAGGACAGCAAATGCGCTAAAGCCATGTTAATTGGGAAAATAACTAAAGTTTATGAAGATGATGAAGATTACCAGTTTGGATATGATGCAATTATTGAAAAAGTGCCAGGATATGCCGATGTAGATAAGGAGGAATTTGAACTTCTAAAGATGATCATTGAAGGTATTTTTTTGAGATCCGAAGATGGAAGTCCAGACCAATTGTCAGTTGATGCATATATTAATGCTGCGTCGAATCCAAATTAATTTAATTTTGAACTTAAAGATATAGATATTGATACTATTTTTTTTTAATTAAATGCATTAACTACAAAACATATACGTCAATTATATAATACACAAAAATATACTATAATATTAAATAATTACAGTGGAACTGTTGCTATTTTTAAGCAATAATAAATTTCGGATGATTTTTTGAATATTTAGGTAATCTGCTAATACCGTAATAATAGTCTTCATGGTGTCTTCAAGATCATAAGATATTGTATTCTGATTGTTGGTAAAAATAAAAATAATAAAAATAAAATGTTGTTTATCTTTAGGGTTTATATATGTCATTCCAAAATGTTTTAATATTAATTAGTCTAACATGTGCCAAATTTAAATGGTTCAAGTATAATAATATTCATCAGAAATACAATATACGCTACAATTGAAACTATGCCTAACATTTTTAAAATATATTAACCTAAAAGATAGTTATTAATTTCAATATAATTACTTAATAAATACTTAAAAATGCTCATTTATTGTATAGAAAATAATTGCTTCAACAAAAATATCACAAATTATAAATTTGCAGATTAACATTGGATGAAATTTATTAAGTAAAAATCTTTCGGAATAGAAATAATTTTCAGATCTATTGATAGAACGTTATTACTTTAATATCTAATCCTTTCCATCATGAATCTTGTATACGAGTATATACATGCAATAGGTTGTACTGCCCTAGGGGGCAGGTCCATGAACTGATATGAGTTAATTTCCAACTCGATTCAGGGAAAAAGTGTGAGAGGTTTTTCATTGCCATTTCACACCGCAGTGCCCGAAATTGGCTATTTTCAATGGAAAACATATTTTTGATCTATATTTTCAAGTAAAAATTTCTATCAGTACTGCATGATATCAGGTTGTACAAGCATACACACACACACACACATATATATATATATATATATATATATATATATATGAGTAAATATGAGATTTTCATTTCATCATCGATGCAGATGAATAGATTCTTAATGACTTTTTTCAAATTCATTATGGTTCATATATTGGAATCAACTGATATTTAGAGCTTTCATTAGTAAATATAATTCTTCCTAGTTGGATGTTCTATAAATTTATGAATTAATAATTCATTTATTAAATTTTGGATCATGATCTTTGTGGTATCATTAAAAAAAACAAGTCAATATTTTCTTTTTGCATTATGAATCTTGAAAAAGTTTCTCCATTTAGTTAATCCTGATGCGACAATTATTTTATTAAAACATGGAAATAGCAATATGCGAAATATTAGGTTTAATTATATATAAAAAAAATGTTTTTGAAAGTTCATAGGACCAATTTTTGCTATTATTATTTTTTTTGTGTAAAGCTAATTTCTATGAACTGTGGTTTATCAATGAAGTAGTATTTCATATTCTTAAAACTTCTAATATAATGTTGAATTTTTTGTTAAATATATTTTTTGTAACTTTCCATTTATATGAATGCAAAGTACTTATTACTTTTTTATTATAAACATTCTACATTACATCGAAAAAACTGTCACAATACATTTGCAGATTAATAATTCGTTCAAAATTTGCTTACGGAATATTACGCACACTTGTTTTTATTTAAATATATTATATAAATATATCTGAATAATTCTCGAATTAAAAAAATATATTGAAAAACAAAATTGTACTTGCTAATTACTAGATAAAAAATTTCCGTATAAAAGCAGAACTATTGTTCAATTCCAAGTTCATCAAAAAATATTGTAAAAAAATTTGCGGGAGTAAGTCATTTTGTGAAGATTAAAAAATGAAATTGTTTGTGCTTTTCTTGATCGTCATTTTAACAGCAGCATACGTTGATTCTGCTGGAAAACAAAATACCCGAAACAAACTGTCCAAAAGAAAAAGTCATCACTACTGGACAAAAATCCATACCAGCAGAAATGATAATAGCACCGAGTTTAAAATTCAAAGAGTTCTTCGTCTCGTCCATGACTGCAAACACGTTGGTATATCAACACTGTCCACACTACCAAAGTTCGAAGGTTTTCCTGATGGAATTCAACAAATAGCTGCCGATGGTGGAAAAGGTATTCCATACACTTACATATCCCAAAAAGATGTCACTGGCGCTGATCTTCTAAAAAGTACCAAAAGTTCAATATTATTCAGTCAAACTGCAATAGATGAAAGTTGTGATGATTACCCACTCCAAGTTAAGGATCCAAAGTGCGCTAGAGCAATGTTGATAGGAGAATTGAACAGAGTTGATAAAGATTCTGAAGACTATGAATTTGGATATAAAGCTATGATAGAAAGAGTGTCAGCTTATGCTGATGTGGATCATGATGATTATCATCTGCATAAATTAGATATTAAAGGAGTATTTGTGAGGAGTGAAAAAGGCGCTCCGGAAGAATTGTCACTAGAAGCATACTTACAAGCAGCCGCAGCTGGAGATGATTGAAAGTTGATTATATAAAATAATATATTAATTTTTAATTTTCTGATTGATATAAATAAATTTGCAATAAATTGATACAAATAAATAAATATTATATTATAATTTTATTATTATAAAATTTTTGTTTTGCATGAAAGCATAAGTACAAATTGTTTATGAAACTTGAATACATAAAGCTAACTCTTTGATATTTATTTTAATAAAAAAAGGAAATCAAATACTTATAGTTACATAGATTTGTTCTCAACATACCTAGCTTCTGCAATTTTATCATAAAATACTCGTATCTAAACTATGGAATTAAGATCGGTTATGTACAGTGGTGTTGTGCTAATATTGCCGGAACGCTAAAATTTAAAATCCGGTTCATAAACCGGTTCAAAAAATTTGATATATTTCGATAAGAACTCACAAATCTAATATATTGACTTCTTATATAATTAACTCTATTATATACAGCTAGTCTATACATTAAATTGTACAAGTATGAGGGAATCATTGAGTACATAATTTATATTCTTCAATAACATTAATTATATTTATTGTGGTATTATTTGTATTCATTAATACTTACAGGTATTTATTATGATATAAAAGTACTCAGGATTTATTACAATACTTTATAAGATTTAATAATTACTTAACCTAATAATACGATAGATAACCTATTACTTATCATACTATACTATATTATTGTATATTAGTGATGTGCCGACTCGAAAAATTCCCGATTCGAATGATTCGAATCAGAAAAAAACCTGATTCGAATCATGATTCGAATCAACTCGAATCAAGTATATATATGGACAAAAAAAAATGATGGATGTATTAATTTAGTAAAAGTGATCCAAATTTATAATCAAAATTGTCAGTTTAACCAATATAATCGACAAAGTAGAAATTGTAAACATAAATCACTATCAAAAAGTATATTCTGAAAATTATTAAAAATGATGTAATTTTGAGGACGGCTAAAACATATCTTCAAATTAATTTACAATAATAGATTACCAAACAATTGTGCATCACTAAAGCATATAAAATAATATTTGGAATCATGGGTCGATTGTTTATTTTACTATGTAATCAGTAAAGGATCGCATCTAAACTGAGAGCTGAAAGTTAATTTCATTAATGTGAATTTGCCATTACTTACATAATCAGAAGTTAACATATTATTTACTGACTTTCTGGTGTTTAGTAATTGTTTCAAAAGAGAATTATATTGAAAGATTCCCGAAACTCGTTTCATAATTTCGAGTGGTTTATTCTGATAACATTTAAAATCTAAAACACTTAATTATTATCAAAATTGGGTATTGATATTTCACGAATAAAATCGCTCTCAGCGCTCCGTAAAATAAATAAACACGCAAGAACGACGACGCATTGTATCGCCCATACGGTTAACTCATATCGCTCGAACGGCTTGAAGTCGGGATGATTCGAATCAGAATTGAAGTCGAAACAACTCGTAACGCCGCTTGATTCGGTTTGGCTCATGAAGTCGGAACAACTCATACGCCGCTTGATTCGAGTTGGCTCATATGAAGTCGGAACAACTCATATCGCCGCTTGATTCGGTTTGGTCATGAAGTCGGAACAACTCATATCGCCGCTTGATTCGGTTTGAGTCATATGAAGTCGGATGATATAGTTAGTCGATGAATGCGGTTAAAGTCACACAAAGACGATTGGAGTTGGCTGATACATTTAAGCATATTAAAGTCGGGTGGCTCGCATGATTTAATTCATTATTTATTTTTTATATTTATGATATTTATTTTTATATTATTATAATATTGAATTAAATTAAAACATTTTTTTATATTTATATTTATGAAAAATTTGTGTTAATACATATTTTATCACAGTAAATATTTCGCGGCTTGATGCGAGTTGATTCGAATCAAGTAAAATCTGATTCGAATCAAGTCGTTAAAGGCTTGATTCGAATGATTCGAATCACTTGATTCGACTTGGCACATCACTATAGGTAGATATCTATTATCAATCATACCGTGAGATACCTACACAGTCATTAAGTTATTATATACCTACATACTTTTTACTTCTTATAAATATTACTGTCTAATTTATATATTATGTATTATCTCTACCTATCTATTGTCTATACCGGGAATTGAACCCGGGACATACAATAGATAGGTAGGACAAAAAGAGATGCTTATTTACCTAAGCTATGGATATATATATATGGAAAAATTATATGATTTGCACATGCATCCTGTGCTCACTTAAACTAAACAATGGTCATAATATATTTAACGATTTTTTAACAGTATTTACAAATTACATTCAAATCACCCAAAGCAAGAGGGTTAAAGCCGTGTAATTTTTTAATTTGCCTCCCCTCTTTGAATTTAAAAATGGATTTTTCTGTGGGGCGTGTGCCCCACGTTGGGAATTAGTAGTCTAGGAGTACAATTTTTTAATCTACTACCAGGTTAATCAATAATTGAGTGATCATCAATTCCACAGCACCTTCATCAGATTTTTAAAAGATCAAAGTTTCTATGAATATG